CTCCGGCCGCGGCTGCCGCCGCCGGCGCCGCCGCGGCGGCCGCGCCCTGCGCCGCAGGGCCGGCGCCGCGGGGCGTCATCTTCGCTGTCATCCTCGCTGCTGTCAAAGTCGCGGCCCTATAGGGTTTCGGTGTTCGAGGTGCGGTGCCGCGCTGTATGGTGAGGCTTTCCGTGTCCCCATGTTGATGGCACGCACACGCCAACCACTCCTGCCCTGCGCCCGACTGCAGCGCCTACAACGCGCCAACCGCAGGCAAGAGGCAAGCAGCCTCTTGCCCTGCCCCCCCTTGATGCAAGAGGCTGCTTGTGCGCCCAAGGGCTGAGGGGGCGCCCACGCACCCTGCCCTGCTCGTGCTTCTTCTTGGCGCGGTACTCGCGGAAGTAGTTGCGCACGGACGCGACGCTCCGCAGGCACTTGGCGTGCACGCGCGTCTCCATCACGGTGGGCTTGTCGTCGCCCCACGCCTCGTCCGAGTGGGCGTCGTACCACCTGCAGGGGGACATCAGGGGCGGCAGCGATGGGAGCTGAGTTCGTGGGGCCGGGAAGCGAATGCACACCAGCGCCGCTCGAGCGACGTTCTGCAGTACGGGGAGCCAACAAATATCCTCACCGAATAATATCATGAGCAGAGGGCCGTCTATTCGTGGACTCGTACTCCTTCCTCCACCTGCGGGGAGGTGAGTTGCGGGCGGATGAGCGGTCAAACCAGATCCACCTGCCCGTCTAGACCCCCAGAAGGGGCCCTCAGTTAATTCAGAGCAGAAAAGATGTGGTTTTGAGCCATTCTGAAGCTCGTGAGTGGCTGCTGCTCCACGCCAGGATGAGCAAACCACTGAACCGATCTCCGCCCTGCTTCCTGACGCTCGCACCAGTCGTTGAATGGCTGCCAATATCTAAGCTGTCTCCTCATTGGTATCGCCTGCATTCCTCGCTTTGAGGTGGCCCTGCCTTGCCCCACGCGGCCAGGGGGGTCGCAGGTCAAGCTGTCCCCTTCCCCTGACATATGATCGACCTCCATGGCTGACTAGAGGTTTAACAACACTTTCTGTACCTATGCTTACAATGTGGCGCGCATCCTCTAAATCGAATTGGAAATCACAAGTTGACACTTCGGAGTACTGTACAGTAATCGGGAAGGCAAGCTAGGCTGACCGTTCGCATAAATCAACGTGTAAGCGATACTCCTAAAAGCTAGGATTCTATGAGGAACGTGGGTCCAGACGAGCTTTTCACGAGCAACAAGCGAAAGGAGCATCAGTCAAGCAGGCGACAACTGCCTGCCGCGTGAGGCTGAAGACTCGAGCCCAGGCTGGTGCATTGCTGCTCAACATGGCCAATAAAATTAAGCGGTTACATGTGCACGGGCCAGCACGTCGCATCCAACTTGTGAACGATGCGTGAGAGGTGGGGCAGCAAGCAAGGGATTGCACATGCAGTGATGATGCGCGCGAGTTGCTCAGGTCAGGTGAGGCGAGTGGCTTCAGCGGCGTGAGCAGCCACTGAAGGAAGTGCCATGAGCGTCACTCGGTCAGCGGCTTTGGGGGATTCTGCTTGTCGCGCGCCTGGGGTTTGTTGTCGCGCCTGCGTGTTGCGTCGCGTCAAGAGGCAGGTCAGGGGGCGCGGCCGTTGTTTGGGGGGGCATGCGACTGCACAGAAGCTGTCGGTGCAGACGTTATATCATTCTGTAAGTAGCAGCGCTTCTTGTTCTTGTTGTTTTGTTCCTTGGGCCAACATTGGGCCAACATGTCAATTGCAGCAGGGCGGACATGTATCCAAGCAGCTGCTCGTGTCTCACCCACCACCAAAGCCCATGTGCACAATGCATCGCAAGTGGGTGGCGGTGGCACACGCTCACGACCCCCAAGGTCAGTACTCACTTGCTGCTCTGCATGTGAGAGCTGCCCGTCGCAGCCAGGAACGTCCTGAACAGGGTCGAGTTGACGTCCTGCGGGACAATGCGCAGCACTATAGTAGGCACGGGCAGCCCTGCAGTAGCCCCCTTCGCACTAATGCACACTCCTGTGCTGATCGACTCTTGCTGATGACCTTTTTTTCCAGCATGCAGCATCGCAGAGTGCGCAGCGGTCTCGCCACCACTGCGCTCCGCCGCCGGCGACTGTGCGGCGATGGCTGTGCTTGATCAGCAACGTTCAACAGGGGCCCTCACTCACGTAGATCATGTTTGGCGTCCTACTTCGCCGAAAGGCCGACTTTCCCTTCTCCTATCCCCTGAGCCGCCCGCAATAATCGGCTGAGCTGATCTGTATGGGCTTCCGTTCGAAACTATACGTGAACGGAGTGTAACCTTCGACATTAATTAACGAGCCGTCCGTGCCGTGTCAGGCTAGATGAGACCCAGCAACCCCAAGTGGCAGCGCCCGACAGCCCGAGCCGTCATGAGCTTGTCACATGGAAAATGGCGCATGCACCCCCAGGCGTACCGCCGTATGCCGGCAGATGTGTGCAATAATGCTATGGTTACATGCCATGTGTCTCGGTAATGGTTCTGCGCTCTTGTACAAAGCCCACCGCCCAGTTCTGAGGTCAAGCCCACCGCAACGCATGGTCAACCCTATCCTCTGCACGCCAAAGCGCCGCAATTGCAAGCTCAAAGCCAGCAAAGCAAGCATATTGTAACGCCGCGCTTATCCCGCCTGAAAAGGGAGGGCCCCGCCCCATTCGTCTTGCCGCGGTGCGCGCCTGCTGCGCTGACATTTGCTGCTGGTCTGCCATTGCACAGGCGCTTCCCGTAGGTCCCTTGGCTATGCCTTGCGCGGCGGTGACAAGCTGTGCAGCCGCACCTCCTCCAGTGACTCCCCCTCTTCCAGCGAAAACCGTGCGGGTGGCACTGCCTCAGGCGCCTGAGTGCGCACCGGCGGCAGGCCTGGCGGCGGCTGCAGCAGGTCAGACGCCGAGCTGCTGAGCGGCAGCCGCGCGGGCGCGGCGCCGGCACCGCTCTGGTCGCGCCGCCCGCTGCCGCCGGCGTCGCTGGGCGCGCCGGAGCCGCCGGCCGGGCGCGGCGCGCGCGGCGGCGCCTTTGGCTGCTGCTGCTGCTGCCGCTGCTCCTGCTTCGCGCCGTGGTGCGGCACTGCCCCAAGCTCGACGGCGCCGCGGAGGTGGCGGCCGTCGTCGCCGTCGTCGTCGTCGCCGTCGCCGTCCAGCCCCAGGGCCGTGCCCAGGTCCGCCACCCCCAACTCCTCCGCGTGCTCCAGGGACGACCCCACCATCAAATAGGGCGAGTCCTCGACCTGCCAAACACAACCGAAGCGTCAGGGTTTCGTTCAGCTTTGTTGAGTTCAAGGTGAAACGTTCGCTTGGTGGATTCATGCAATTGAGGACTCGAGGCTGATGATGTGAGGTTGAGAACGCGTCAGCGGGGGGAGGAGCCGCGAGGCAGGCTGGGGTGCGTACATGACTACGCCGCGGCGTGTTGGCCCGCAGCTGCGTTGGCAGCGGGCCTTTGTAACCAGCCCCCAGAGTTGGTCGCAGGGGCAGGCAGCCGGCATGGGCGTGGGCCTGTTGCGGGTCCTCACCGGGCGGAATATCCACACCAGCGCGGCCATGAACCCCAGCTGCACCAGGAACTGCAGGAAGACGACCAGGCCCTGCACCACCACATTCATGTAGATGGGCAGCAGCAGGGCGCCTGCAGCGGTGGAGAGGACAAGAGGCGGGCGTTCTGCAGTGAGCGTGCGCCTTGCTGGTGGTGTCAGGTTGCAGCTGGCTTGCCAGACGGCAGCATTGATGCGCCGTGTCGACATGGGGGTCGGCGCGAGGGGCTACTGGGTGCGGGCGAGGGGCTACTGGGTGCGGGCTTCCCTAACCAGAGGCCCTCCGGCGCATCACGGCAGGGGCGGGCCCCTTGACACGGCGCGCAGTGCTTGACCGGCCACACAGCGAGTGCGCGCGGGGTTTTGGCAGCTCACACATGGTGGCGATCAAATAGGCGCCGACGCCGAAGGAGAAACGCCTGAGGTGGGTGGGATGGTGAGTGGGTGGATGCAACGGGGTTCTTGGCCTGGTTTACATGTGTCTGCCAAGAGGGCTGCAGGTTGGGACGGCAAGCGCTACATTCCAGGCATGTAGCTGACAATGCGGCGGGGCTCCCCAAAGGCAGCAGCGTGAAGCTGCGCAGTCCATGGCATGCGCTAGGCCAGGTGGCTGCAGCCGGCCGCATAGAGCTGGTGGCCGCGGTTGGCGGGCGCGCCTGTACAGGTTCTTCTTGATCTGGGTGGCGCGTATGCAGGCACGCGGCGGGGGAGGGGGGGTGTGAGGGGTTCACGCAGGCGGTGTCAAGGAGGAGGCGCGCTGCTGGAGGCGAGTCCCCCGCACGAGGCCCTGCCCAAGTCCCAGCGCAGCCCCTCCCAGAAACACAGCGCGGTGCAGTGCCGCCGGCCGGCCGCCCCCCGGGCTGCACCCGGGCCCAGCTCCCTGTTCTAGCCGCGCCGCCCCTGGGGCTGCCGCCGGGCCCTCGCAAAACGGCTGCGCTGCCTAACCCCCGCACCTCAAAATTTAGGCGGTCCGCCACCGTCTCAAACTCCTGCGCCTCAACATCCGCCCCCGCGATGTGGCTGGCGTTCTGCCCCGCGCCCAGCAGCTGCTTGTAAGCCGTCACGCCCTCGCGCCCCAGCGCCTCGTCAAACTCGTTGGCGGCCGCCGCGTGGGGCGCGGCGCCGGCCGCCTCGCCGCTGGGGGCGGCAGGGGCGCCGTTGTCCGCGGGGCCTGACCGCTTGTTGAAGGCCTCCTGCGCGTCGAGAGCCTCCATCTCCTGCAGTTGTGCAGGGGAGGGGGGGGGGGAACGCACTCCCGCTTGGCTGACTCTCGACGCAACAGGCCATGGCGCAAGAGGGCTTGCCTCAAGAGGGCTCGGCGCATGACGGACGGCGCCGCTGGTGCCTGTTGTCACGAGGAGCCCCCTTGCCACGCAGCGTGCGCGCGGCCAGCACGACCACTTGCTCTTCCACCCCTCCAAACCCTGGTCGTCCACGCGCGCCCATCCACGACGCAGACGCATCACGCGCCCCCCACCTGTGCAATGATGTCGAACGCGTAGACCCAGGCCAGCATGAGGCAGGCCATGTTGAGCAGGGTGCACACAAACCACAGCGCCTGCTCCCACGGCGCCATCGACAGCACGTCCACGTCATCAGACACGGCGTCAGTGAACTGCGGGAAGGGGGGGTGTGGGGTGTGGGCGCGGTAGGTGATCAGAGACTGCTCGTAATGTTGGGGGTGACCGGCAGGGCCCAGAGGGAGCTGTCCTGGTGCCATACTGCACCATGTGCTGCACGCAGGTTGACAACACGTGGCCCCACGCTGCCCTGATGCCCTGGCCGCTGCTGGCCGGACGGCGCTCCTCGTCTCCCAGTCTCCCCAGCCAGCTGGTGGCTGTCTTTGCCGGCAGCGCGCATGCATCCTGAGCCGCAGCGCCTATGGCACAGCGCAGCGCGCCCCTCATCAATACAACTCTGCCGGGGGACCTGAGGGCACCCAAACACCCCTGCGTGGCCGCCCCCGCCGCACCTGCGTGTAGAGGACGCCCGTCACCACGCCCGTCACCAGCAGGATCGCGGGGATGCCCACCACCTTGGCCTTGTGCGCGCCCATGTCGGCTCGCGTGATGCTGAACCCGCTGGCCAGCAGCAGCAGCAGCCCCAGGAACGCGGCCTGGGCGGCCTCGCGGAACGGGATGTAGGCCAGGAAGAGGCGCGAAGTGGTGACCGGCGCGTCGCCGCGGCGGAAGCTGTCCGCATATGCCAGGTACGCCGACATCTTGAGCGCCTGCGCGGTCAGCACCGCGAGCAGGACGCGGTACAGCGTCCAGCCGCGGCTGCGGCTGCCGCGCAGCCTGGGGCGGGCGGGCAGGTGGTGGCGGCGGCGGCAGGGGCGGCGGTGGGTGAGAGAGGAGGCGCACACTTCATGCGGAGCGCATGGAGAGTGTCGCGCCGAGCGAGCGCGCGAGTGGGCTTGCAGCAGTGCCATGCGGCTGGGTGCTGCCTATGCAGCGCCTCATCATTATAGTTGCGGGCAGCACTAAAGGGGGTTGGCCGTGCGCTAGATTCTGCATCGGTCAAGCGCACCGCAGCGCGTTTCCTCGGGACACAGTGGCCTGCGCACCCACCTGACGCCTAGCGCCACCGTGCCGCCCCACAGCAGCCACCATGCTGCGCAACGGACCGCCGCAGATGTCACCGCCCACCCGACATCAAGGTCGGGGTCCTCTGGGGTGTCCATGGTTCGGTGCGCCTTTGTGATGCGGGCCTGCGCTGCGCGCTAGGCGCGGCGCGAGCGGGCGGGTGTGCCCCCGAGCAGCAGCGTGCCTTCAAGAGCTCCGAAGACTTATCAAACTAGGTTGTCCAATTGCCAATGGGCTGGGCAGCGCCTGTGAAGCAGCCGAGGAAGGAGTGAGCTGCAGATAGGATGCACCGTCTCGACTGGTTGAGCTATGGAAAAGACGGCCGGTTGGTTGGTGTGCTCAAATGAATACCTCCAGTGTGATTTTGCTGTGCAAGAGAGCGCGAAGGATTTCTTCGGGCACACCCGAATGAACACAAACGATCTAGGCCACACTTCGTTTGCATGCCCTCCATGTTTCTGCAACACCGTTCCGTATACGTGCAACTTGAGCATATACCTGGCTTCCTTACCACGTCACATTGTTTTGTGCTGCCAGTGCCATCGACCACAGCTGCACGAGCCAGCCAGCGGCCCACGGATCGCTCTCACGTACGCTACTCAACCGATTCAGGCCATCAGTAAGTCTGTGAGCCCCAGCTTCGTGTGACCGCAGCTGCAAGGGCCAACATGGCCGCGCTCAGGCGCAAGCTCAAAAATAAGAAGGCTCCGGAGGGCTGGAGCCAGATAGAAGACGTCATAGACGACTTTGAGCAGCAGATGAAGGACGCCGTCAACGAGGAGCACGAGGGGAAGCGCAAGAACGAGTCGACGTGGAAGATCCACCGCCTGCACTGGGAGAAGAACCGCTTCATATATGACCTCATGTACCAGCGCAAGGTCATGTCCAAAGAGCTGGTGAGAGGGGGAGTGTATGAGCAAGGCTGCACGGGCGCCAAGGCGGTGGGATGGGCGGAAACGAACTGGGTGCGGCGGCTGCATGCGCTCACGCGCACGTGATGCATGGGGGCGGCGCTGCGCTGCGAAGCGCCTTTCGATGGCCATTGATCTGGGTGTTGAAGCTTTGTCGTTAAGCGGTTTTTGTTCCAGGTCGTGCGTGCCCGTGCGTCGCAGCATGCAGCAGGCTGTCACAATGACATCCTCGCCACACTGTCGCGCCTGGTGCAAGAAAGTGGCGGCTTGTTGAGACAATTCGACCTTGGAGCTGTCCGCTGCCAGCATCTTTCGCCTCCAAATTTTTGAGAGTTGCAGCATGCCAAATCAATGTATCCTTCACACTGCACAGGCTTCTTGAATCCTTCCCCGCTAAACTGCATTTTGCCCCGGCCCCCACTCCTCTTCAACAACAGTTTGACTGGCTGGTGCGCGAGAAGATCGCCGACGGCGCCCTCATTGCCAAGTGGCGCAAGCCCGGCTACGAGCTGCTCTGCTCCATGCTCGCCATCCAGAAGGGCAACCACAACTTTGGCACCACGTCCCACTGCCGCGTGCCGCTGAACAAGCGCGCCTCGCAGCAGCGGGTCACCCCAGACGTGCAGACGGGCTGCATCTGCTGCGCCTCGGGGTGGGGCAAGTTTGGCGGCCCCATCTGGTGGAACACGCCGCTGGACGAGGACGAGGACGCGGCGGGGGGCGGCGGTGGGGGGGAGGGCGCGGAGCACAACCGCGCAACCTGGGGGCCCGCAGGCGGCGGCGGCGGCGGGGAGGGGCCGTCCCGGAAGCGCACGGCGCGGGAAGAGGAGGACGAGGAGGACGGCATCCCGGAGGAGGTGCAGGCGCGGCTGGCGGCGATGCGGAAACAGATGGCGGGCGGCGGGGGCGGGGGTGGCGCATGACAGGGGCCCGGCTGGCTTGGGTCCGTCTCTTCTCGCCTGTTTTGACCTGCTGACTCACTGTTTTGGACCTTTGTTGACGTGGTTTTGTGAACTTTACCTTTGGTTTTTCCAGTATAGCCCAGTGTAAGGGCACATGTTTCTCTTGGCTGGCTGGCAGGTTGTCACGCCCACGTGCGGGTGGGCGCATCTGGCAATCGTCCCTCTTTCAGCAGCACAGGATGCGTTTCAGCTCGCCAACAGAAACCCCGAAGTCAGCAGCGACCGGGCACGCATCAAGTTGCACGCGGGAAGTGATGCGTGGCAGCCAGCGGCTTCCGCGGGCGCACCAGGCGGTCAGCGCTGACAGCTGCTGCAGGCACACCCACACCCCCACCCGCGCTATGCTGCGTTCTGTGCCCACAAGGGCCGCGGGCAGCATCAGGCTGTTTTGACTCAGGATGGCCTGCCGCTCTTCCGTCTGACAGACATGCCGCCACAAACCGTAAGCGCTCCAGGGGCCAATGCTGATGTTGATGCACATGGCATTACATGTGGATGGGCTTCCCAAACGCTGTCGCGAGGGCGGCCTCCTTGATGGCCTCGCTGAGTGTGGGGTGGCCGTGGCAGGAGCGCGCGATGTCCTCGGTGCAGGCGCCGTACTCCATGGCCAGCACGCACTCGGGGATGAGCTCCCCCGCGTTGGGGCCCATGATCCAGGCGCCCAGCAGCTTGTCGGTCTTGGCGTCAGCAATGAACTTGACCTTGGGGGGGTGGGGTGGAGT